CATTAGTCTGATTAAAGAGTTCATGTAAATATGCATAATGGGGTTTACCTTGTCCTGAAGGGTAATGGCGGACGTGTTGTTGGCTCGGTGACAAACCTCTGCTTTCCATGGGATATATGCAGCTGGAACATGGTTATTGTACTTCAAAGAAATTAGTATTATCACTGAGATTGTAACGGTTTCCTTAAGAGTTCGTTTTGTGGAAGTTATCTCCGAGATGGCTATAATTTCCTTAATAATATTTCGTTTTGTGGAAGAATTCGGAAACACGGAGTAGCACTGTCAAAACCTTCACTTCCGAACGGTGCAATGGGTCGTTGGGTACTGTAACAGGATTGTCAAATTTGCCGGTAGATGGCAGCTTATGCGTGACGTATACTTGTAACATCTACTCCTAATTATAATACGTATTAGTATATAACGCCTGACGTACACCGAAAATGTTCATCAAAATAAGTAGGTATTCTTGTTGTGTTGCGATGAAAACTGGAAAAAAATAACAGTGCAGTACATTTTTTAAAGAGTGACAATGGCTGATCCTGACTTTACGACTTCCATGTTTATGTAGGGTTCGCGTGCTTGTAGATAGTTCACGACCCATTTTCCTTCTTGACGTGATTCGTTGCCATCGTAAGTTATTTTAAATTTTCCCCATGTTGCAGTCATTTCCTAATCATACACTATATACAAATGTATATATATATATATATATATATATATATATATATATATATATATATACATATATATATACATATATAACATATATATATATATATATTATATATATTATATAATGTAATAAATATACTTTATATATATATAATATATATATATATATATATATATATATATATATATATATATATACATATATATATATATGTATATACATATAATGTAATATATATATATATATATATATATATATATATTATATGTCTGTGTGTGTGTGTGTGTGTGTGTGTGTGTGTACGTACATACATAAATAAATATATAATATATGTGCTATATGCTATACGTATGTATATTATACGATATCTCTCTACTCTATCTCTCTCTATCTATCTCTCTTCTATATATATATACTATATATAATATATATATATATTATATGCATATGTATATATATACATATATATATGAATATATATATATACATATATACATATACATATGTTATATGCGTGTGGTGTTTGAAATATATATAATGAATATGTATATATATACACATACACACACACACACACATGCATACATACATACATAATACATATAATAACATATAATATATATATATATATTATATAATAAATATATTATATATATTATAATATATATAGTATTACTACATAAATCCACCCATCCGCTTTTCGTGCACGGATGGATGACTCTAAGATCCTCCAACTGGATCCTTCAGCCATCCGCAGAGTAATCAGTGATCGGCGATGAATCCTGATTTATAAACATTTTAAGTCCCTTGAATGAATAGGAGAAGTACAGCGGTATAAAAGCTGCAACTTTTCTCCGTTTTAGCGTAATATCAGGCACAATTTTGTTCATTTTCACTGCCAGACACTGAAATGGTTTAGAAAAATATTTAGACGTTAATTGTTCTAGAGTAATATAATGGATACCATTGTTGTTATTTTTAACTGCATTATTTGGTTTTGTTTCATGTAGATTTTTTGTCAGTTCAAGTACATTTCGGAAATTTTCTGTTCATTTGTAATATGTAGGCGAAAATTCGTTAAAAAACCGATTTATATATTTATAAGACTTTTACTTCACATTCACACATTTCTTTCCATGAATATCTTTCTGTGGGTAATAAAAATTTCAGGTCAACAATATCTTTTATTTTCATATAACTTAACCTAAAAAACTCGTTCAGTGCTGAGTCATCTCTTGTCGTCTTCAACAGAAAACGGGAACCTCCGTGCAATGGCTGTCCTCTTTGACAGAAAATACCTCTAAAATGGTGAGATTTTCGTGAATATAAGACATGAGTGAAGTTTCAGCATGGCAAAAGAAAAAAAGGGGGATCGGTATGTAAATATGAGGTGAGCAATCAGATATATATAAGATTAGACGAGTTACGGATGAAATAGTGATGTGATCTGTGATATAGAAAATGGACAAGATTACAGTGCCTGTATAAAATTGCCTGCATTACTGAACATGGCGGTATATGTAAATAATATTCTATTTCCTTATATTGAAATATTGATCTAGTTCTTTCTATGCATAACACACCGGTCTACTGCATTTAGAACTTTTTTTATCCTGTTTACAAATGAAAGTTAGTGTTGGTAGCAGTTAGACTTCGATGGAAAGCATGGGTCTATTTTGTATCGTCTCCAGGAACTGCACATTCTTCTCTCTCCACAAAAGCACATGGTGTTTTATGCTGATCTTCTTTGGCTTTTGTTTCGCATTGGATTAATTTATATTTGCTACAAAATGAGGAAGGAAATCTCAAAAGCCCATCGGTTGCTTTAAGTTTTGTAAATCCATCCCGTCCGTGCTTTGGCAAAACCTTCGTTATGCCTTCCGTTTCTCAAGGATTCCTCCATCTCAGTCTCAGCGATGTCCTCGAACCCAAGGATCCGTTTCCGAACTCACGAAGATCCTTGACTGAGCCATGACTCTAAGATCCTCCAACTGGATCCTTCAGCCATCCGCAGAGTAATCAGTGATCGGCGATGAATCCTGATTTATAAACATTTTGAAGTCCTTGAATGAGAAGTACAGCGGCATAGAAGCTGCAACTCTTCTCCGTTTTAGCGTAATATTAGGCACAATTTTGTTCTTTTTCACTGCCAGGCACTGAAATGGTTTAGAAAAATATTTAGACGTTAATTGTTCTAGAGTAATATAATGGATACCATTATTGTTATTATTATCTGCATTATTTGATTTTGTTTCATGTAGATTTTTTGTCAGATCAAGTACTACATTTCGAAATTTTTTGTTCATTTGTAATATGTAGGCGAAAATTCGTTAAAAAAAACGATTTATATATTTGTAAGACTTTACTTCACATATACACATTTCTTTCCATGAATATCTTTCTGTGGGTAATGAAAATTTCAGGTCAACAATATCTTTTATTTTCATATAACTTAACCTAAAAAAATCGTTCAGTGCTGAGTCATCTCTTGTCGTCTTCAACAGAAAACGGGAACCTCCGTAAAATGGCTGTCCTCTTTGACAGAAAATACCTCTAAAATGGTGAGATTTTCGTGAATAATAAGACATGAGTGAAGTTTCAGCATGGACGTAGGCAATTCAAGAAAAAAAAGGGGGGGGGTTCTGTATGTAAATATGAGGTGAGCAATCAGATATATTTTAAGATTAGACGAGTTACGGATGAAAGAGTGATGTGATCTGTGATATAGAAAATGGACAAGATTACAGTGCCTGTATAAAATTTCTTCATTAGTGAACATGACACTATATGTAAATGATATTCTATTTCCTTATATTGGAATGTTCATCTACTTTTCTTTCCATGCATAACACATCGGTCTGCATTTAGAAATTCTTTATCCTGTTCACAAATGAAAGTTAGTGTTGGTAGCAGTTAGACCGATGGGAAAGCATGGGTCTATTTTGTATCGTCTTCCAGGCACTGCATAGATTCTCTCTTCTCCAGCAAAAGCCACATGGTGTTTTATGCTGGATCTTGCTTTTGTTTCGTAAAGGATTTATTTATATTTGCTACAAAATGAGGAAGGAAATCTCAAAAGCCCATCGGTTGCTTTTCGGTCTTGTAAATCCATCCCGTCCGTGCTTGGCAAAACCTTCGTTATGCCTTCCGTTTCTCAAGGATTCCTCCATCTCAGTCTCAGCGATGTCCTCGAACCCAAGGATCCGTTTCCGAACTCACGAAGATCCTTGACTGAGCCATGACTCTAAGATCCTCCAACTGGATCCTTCAGCCATCCGCAGAGTAATCAGTGATCGGCGATGAATCCTGATTTATAAACATTTTAAAGTCCTTGAATGATAGGAGAAGTACAGCGGCATAAAAGCTGCAACTCTTCTCCGTTTTAGCGTAATATTAGGCACAATTTTGTTCTTTTTCACTGCCAGACACTGAAATGGTTTAGAAAAATATTTAGACATGTTAATTGTTCTAGAGTAATATAATGGATACCATTATTGTTATTATTAACTGCATTATTTGATTTTGTTTCATGTAGATTTTTCATGTCAGATCAAGTACTACATTTCGAAATTTTCTGTTCATTTGTAATATGTAGGCGAAAATTCGTTCAAAAACCGATTTATATATTTGTAAGACTTATACTTCACATATACACATTTCTTTCCATGTATATCTTTCTGTGGGTAATGAAAATTTCAGGTCAACAATATCTTTTATTTTCATATAACTTAACCTAAAAAACTCGTTCAGTGCTGAGTCATCTCTTGTCGTCTTCAACAGAAAACGGGAACCTCCGTGCAATGGCTGTCCTCTTTGACAGAAAATACCTCTAAAATGGTGAGATTTTCGTGAATAATAAGACATGAGTGAAGTTTCAGCATGGACGTAGGAAGAAAAAAAGGGGGGGGTCTGTATGTAAATATGAGGTGAGCAATCAGATATATATAAGATTAGACGAGTTACGGATGAAATAGTGATGTGATCTGTGATATAGAAAATGGACAAGATTACAGTGCCTGTATAAAATTGCCTGCATTACTGAACATGGCGGTATATGTAAATAATATTCTATTTCCTTATATTGAAATATTGATCTAGTTCTTTCTATGCATAACACATCGGTCTACTGCATTTAGAACTTTTTTTAATTTTTGATCCTGTTCACAAATGAAAGTTAGTGTTGGTAGCAGTTAGACTTCAATGGGAAAGCATAGGTCATTTTTGTATCGTCTTAAGGCACTGCGCAGATACTCTTTTCTCCAGCAAAAGCCATATGGTGTTTATGCTGGATCTTCTGCTTTTGTTTCGCATTGGATTAATTTTGTATCGTAAAGGATTTATTTATATTTGCTACAAAATGAGGAAGGAAATCTCAAAAGCCCATCGGTTGCTTTTCGGTCTTGTAAATCCATCCCGTCCGTGCTTGGCAAAACCTTCGTTATGCCTTCCGTTTCTCAAGGATTCCTCCATCCCACGTCTCAGCGAAGGCCCTCGAACCCAAGGATCCGTTTCCGAACTCGTGAAGATCCTTGAGTCAACCATGACTAGGAGAACCTCCAACCAGATCCTTCAGCCATCCATTACCAAACTTTCCTTCGACGAAACTCTACCATCTCATTTTCTCGGACCCTGTCGAAGGCGCTGAAGGTCTGGCGGCCTTAGGGGAGGTGGCCGGACCCCCAAAGAGCGCCGTGATCTCCTGCAGGGTCTTTCCCTTGGTCTCCGGCACCACCAGGACACAGAAGACCAAGCTGACGGCGCAGATACCACCGAAGAGCCAGTACACACCGTATTCGTGGATGGCATCCTGGAGGATAGATGAATAGATTAGATTTAGTTTCAATACCATTTGTTACAATGGATATTCTTTGCTGTGACATACTGTCTGTTTTATTTTGCCTTCTAAATCTCCCCCTGTGTGCAAGGAATGGCCGGGGTTACCATTCACTGGCACGCGCAGGATCGAACGCAGGTCAGCATGATTGCAAGACCAGCACGTTCACCACTGCGCTACACAGCACACATTTAGGAGGAGGAGGAGCTGGTTTAAATACTTTACCATACGAAAGAGGGAAACAAAACAAAAGCCGATGAAGATAAAAGAGATGGAAGCCAACGTGAAGGTTGTAAATATTTTCGTTAGGAGGAAGATAACAAGAAAAATATTTATTATCATTAAGGATGATATCCCGTGTAAATTGTGTATATTCCAGAACATATTAAGACAGCAAAGGACTTCTTGAACGTAGTGGCTGAATACACGTAAGGAAAAAGTCGGATGCAATAATATCAATAAAAATAGTAATGATAATATACATCAAGGTAAAAAAAAAAAAAAAAAAAAAAAAAAAACTAAACAGAGCAAGAATTATAATAAGAACAATAATAATGATAGCGATAGGATCAAAAACAATAACAAGAACGATAATGACAGCAAGAACAAGAACACCAATAATAGTAATACCAAAAATACAAGAACAACAATAATAGCAATAGCACTAATACCATAAACACTAACAATAACCAAAAAAAAAAAAAAAAAAAAAAAACTAATAACAAGAAAAAAAACAAGGGCAATATAATAAAGAAAACAATAACAATGAAATAGGATAACAAGAACAGCAATAGCACCATCATAAACTAAAACAATACCAAAACCAAAACTATCACCATCAACCGAATACTATACCAAAGAAAATGAGAAACCAAACTCTACTAAAGAAAACGGGAACCAACCGAAAACTATACCAAAGAAAACGGGAACAACCGAAAAACCTAAAGAAAACGGGAACTCACCCGGATACTATATAAAAGAAAACGGGAACCAACCGAAAACTATACCAAAGAAAACGGGAACTCACCCGGATACTCTCAAAGAAGTACGTGACAATAAAAGACATCGCCCAGTTTGTCATTGTACTCAAACCGCTGGCAGATTCGCGGATGTTGGCAGGGAACAGTTCACCTAGAAGACAGAAGTGTTGTTGCATTATTGGAATGGATAGATTCGCGCTTCGTTGTTGCCAGTTGCCCTCATCCTGAAAATGATACATGAGATTGGGTCTCATATACGGATTATTGAGACTCATACATTGTGTCGCACATTCGACTTACTCATACACGATTCCGTACACTTACTCATACTAATCAATAAAATCGATTATACTAGTTATTCATAAAATCAATTATCCATATATTTTCCATTATACATAAACATCATGAGCCAAGGGATTACACTTACTCATACAATCGATCATCTTAATATCTTCCATTGTACTTACTCATCATGAGCCAAGGGATGGGACCGAAGCCAAAGCTGAATGCTGCGATGAAGATCATTAGTGACGTAATCGGAAGCCATCCGAGGGCGCTGACGTCACCGTTTTCTTTCAGGTAGAAGAATACTCCGAGACCCACTGTTGGTGGAGATTGTGCAGTTTTATGTAATTATCTATTTATTTGTTTATTTATGTTTTTGTTATTCGTTTGTTATTATTGGTTTATAATTTTCAGAATTTTTGGCGGGGAATTTGGTTTGGTAATTTTTGGCGATGTTTGGATTTTTATGGGAGTTATGATTTTGGGAATCTGGAGGATTTCGAGATTTTGTGTAGTTTAGAAAATATTGAGATTGTGGTAAATATGAATCAGTAGTTTAGAAGATTTCAATATTTCTTTAAAGGAAAATATGAGTTCGTAATTTAAAAAATGGAGATTAGCGGAAACATGTAAGTAATTTATTAGTCTTTAAAAAAAAAAAAAAAAAAAAGGCAGTGACACATTACGGGGGTAGCGGCACCGTATAACTGATATAGGCCTTTGGAAAAGTCTAATATACTACAACACTTTGCAGAAATACCATTACCATTATCATTATCCTACCGGCACCATAAAAATAAAAATAAGAAAAATTGATAATGCAACAAAAACATAAAAGACCCCTCCCCCCCACCAACAATATATATATATATATATATATATATATATATAATAATATATATATAATATAATAAATAATAGAATATAACCAACACACACACACACCGAGAGCAACTGTCATGGCTCCTGCAGATGAGATCAGAAGAAATTTCCTGCCAGCTTTGTCCATGAGCACACTAGAGACGACAGTGGCCAGAACCTGAACTACGCCGACGATGATGGAACTGACGTCATCGGAGAGGTCTGTTCCCGACTCCTGTAGTGAGAGAGATAATAGGCGTCTTCTGTACTCGTCAATAAAGTGAATACCGTATAAAAGTTAAATCCAAATCCTCAGTACTTCATGACATAAGATGGGAAGGTTTACCCAACCTGGAAATAAAGTTACCCTTTCTGTGTCTGGAAACTCAATGGGATTTTCTTTTCGTTTATCTTTTCACTGTCGAGATTATATCTGCAGTTTCAATATCTCTAAACATTAGAATACATACCAATGAATTTTCACAAACATCTTTAACATGAAACGTCAGAACATGTTTCGTTAATACCATGAACAGAAGTTAATGGCAACGCAAGTCATCTTTTCTATGTTGATGACGTTGTTATTACGTATCAATACATGATTGGTGGGATTAACTAGCTCGTTTTGCGCATGTGCAGGATTTAACTTTAAGCTTAAAAGTCAATGCTGGTCCAGAGATGTATTGAAAGTTTAACCTGGATACTGATAACTCGCATGCGTACTAGAGATGTTGATTAAACTTGAATGCGGGATAAACTTTTGTGGTGGGTATAGGTGACGCCTAAAGAGGGAGAGATGGAGAGGATTTTGTGTCTTGTGATTGTTTGATAAGGGAAATGGTTACGTATATGTATATGAATACATATATATGTAAGTTTGCGTCTATGCATACGTAGAGAGAGAGAGAGAGAGAGAGAGAGAGAGAGACAGAAAAAGTTAGAACGAGAAAAACAACTAAATAAATAAGTAAATAAAAGAAAAGACATCTGTCCGAGAGAGAGAGAGCTAGACAGAAAAAAGGTAGACGAGATAATATTAACAATATATATATACAAAAATATATATATATATAGAAATAAATAAAAAGAAAAGAAGAAAACAGAGCCCGTTCCCCTTACCGCAAAGATAGCCTTCAAGTTGAAGAGGACAGCGTTGACCCCACAGAGCTGCTGGAACAACATGAGCGCAATGGAGATAAGGAGAGGCTTCAAGATATACGCCTGCTTGAGGTCCGAGAAAGAGGCTTTGTTCGCTTTGGAGTCTTCGAGAGTCTGTTTCAGTATCTGCATCTCGGGCTGGATGTTGTAGTCGGGTCCTGGGAGAGAGAGAGGAAGAGGATTAGCATCTTTGGGTCGATATTACTCCGTCCAATCTCAGAAATGGAAACTTTGGCGGCTCATTCCAAACTCTGGAGTACTTTGATTTTTGAAGTTTTGGGAGAAAATGATAAGGTGAACGCATCATATTTTGATTTTGAAATATTGTACTTAGTTAAAAAAATAAAAAAATTATAAGATATGTAAACATGTCATCAAATTGGAAATAAAGAAAATTTGGTGAATCGGAGTGTTCCAGAATTCAAAATGAGTTGCGTTCATTCCTTCCTAAGACCGGATTCACTTTATTTTGAGAATTGCAGTTTAAAGATACATTTTAGCCCAAGATTGACCACATTTGCATTTGCATTTCCATATATATATATATATATATATTATATATTATATATATATATATATATATTTTTTTTTTTTTTTTTTTTTTTTTTTTTTTTTCTGTTTCTAATCCTTCCTTACCTCTGAAATATCGCATAGATTCTTGGGCCTCCTTCTCCTTCCCCTTCGAGAGTAGATAACTGGGGGACTCCTTTGAGAAGAACATCAACACGCAGAAAATGATGGTCGGGACAGCACACACAACCGCGAGTATCTGCCAGCTGTTTATAAAGGCTCCGAAGATGTATGCGTAGAGAATACCAACTCCGGCCATCAGCTGGAAACCTGCTCCTGTTGTTGGGGAATTGGATATGTATATAAGAGAATTCACCTACACTTTCATATGCGTTTCTGTATGGTATTTATATACATGCAGATGATTCACTGAGGAACGTTTTCGTTTTACGAGAGAGAGAGAGAGAGAGAGAGGGGGTGGGAGGAGAGAGAAAGAGAGAGAGAGTGAGAGGGTGGGTGGGAGAGAGAGAGAAGAGGAGAGGGAGAGAGAGAGAGAGAGAGAGAGAGTGTAACATACACTGACAGGCAGAGATAAACACGGAGAAAAAAAATCAAAACATTATAAAAACAAACTGAACTTGGGACTACCTAATGTTCCCCGAATGTCAGCCGAGGCGAATTCCCCAATGAAGGTGGGAGTTGCGATGCACACCATGCCTGTGCACAATCCAGCGATGATACGTCCCACCAGAAGCATGGCGAAGTTTTGAGCGAAAGCTGGAGAAAATAATGCACATTTTATCTTACAGTTGGGTATGCGTAAATAAAAATAAAATGACAAAAAGAAAAAAAGGAAAAGAAAATGAAACAGAAACATTGCACAAAAAGAGTAATCATAACACAATTACAACCAAGGTAGTTTAACACAGGTAGCCATATTCCGTCTTGATGTAAATCATAGTTGGCAACTTCCGAGCCTCTTTGTCTCTATTCATAGTATATGCCATGTTTTGAATTATTATTTCTTGTTTGTTTATCATTCTTCTACCATTGTTATTATACATACACTGTTTTTATTATTGTACTATTCTCAAAGAAATGCAATGAAGAAAAAAATTAAATTTCGCACAGATAAACAGGGCCAAAATAGAGGGCGGAGCTAGCTATTACGTTTAGCCACGAGTGCGTTGTGAGATGTCAGGTAAGGTAGATGCATAATTATTTGCATAAATTAATCGATGTTCTTATAATGACCAAAATTAAAACAATATTCCCTCTTTCAGGACTAAAAAATAAAAATAAAATAACATTAATACGAAAAATTATGAGAAATACAACGAATAAACACAAATGCACAAATAAGCACCGTCAATCTCGCATGTAACAACACCAATAAGAAAAAACAATAAACAAACATAAAACACACAGTATGAAATAAAAATACAGCAAACACACGAGTCCCCCCTCACCGATGATCGCCCAGGACCCGAAGAAAAACGGAAACACGGCCAGCATGGTTCCCCGCCGCCCGATGGCGTTGATGCAGAGGCCGCCGATGGGGCCGCCGACGAGAGCCCCGAGGTTGACCGACGAGGAGAACCAGCTGTTCTCGACGGTGGTCAGCTGCAGGGAACTGTCTGTGGAGTTGCTGGTCAGCAGGATGCCCGCCGGGGAGGAGTAGCCGAGGGCCGTGCCGAAGCAGAGGGCGCCCATCGTTGCTGTTTGGGAAATGAGGTTTGGCTTCAGTGTCGGAAGGTTCAGTTGTGAGAGGAAAGGGAGGAAGGGAGTGAATAAAAAGTCTTCTGTGTTGAAAATCTATACCATTATTATTGTTGCTATTATTTTATTATTATCAGTGTTATTATCATGTCATTATAGTCATTGTTATCATTAATATTACTTTTATTATTATCACTATTACTATTATTAATACCATCATTATTATTATAATCACTATCACTATCCTTACTATTTCTTCTTATTATTGTGACCATAATTATCCATATCCAAATTACTACCATCACCACCATTATCCTTATCCTCCTTATCATCCCTCATTATCACCCTAATCACCCCGGTCCTCCTCACCCGACAGAGCGGCGATGTACTGCGTCGCCCGAGCGGGTCTTGCGTTGTTTACCAGATCAGCTGATGACATCCCCTGCTCCGCCATCTTGCCTGCTGTTGGTGTCGCCTGGGAGGAAGAAAGGCAAGAAATGTATGAATTGATAGGCAAGAGAGGTAGATTCTGATAATATTTTGCGTCATTTTACAGTATTCTGATAATATTTTGCGTCATTTTTAGTATTCTGATAATATTTTGCGTCGTTGGTTTGTGTAAAAAAAGAAAAGGAAAAACAAACGAATTGGTGGTAAAAAAAAAAAAAAAAAAAAAAAAAATGCTGGCAAGAGGACACGATTATTACAAGGTTCAAAGTCAAAGTCAAAACACTTTATTCCATTAATTACAATGATTATTCTTAATCATTGTAGTAAGGTTAAGGTAGTAAAAATTCACATACTTTCAAGACCTTTTGCTTTCCGTTTTCAAAGACTTTTCAAGGACTTTTTGATCAATTTTAATATCACGCCATAATGTAATTGAACTTTGACGTCAAAAATGTATCATATGAACATAAGGTCCGTTTTTTATTTAATTCAAAAAGTAACAATATTCTCATTCTCATGACCTTGCAAATTCTTAGTCCACATTCATCACGATTCTTCGAAAAGTTTGGTAGACTAAGAACCAATTTTAAAGACTTTTAAAGACCTTATTAATAATAACATAATAGTAATAATAATGTAAAATGAAAATGTAAAATAATAAAAGTAATGTAATGAAAAAATGTACAAAAACATACAAGAATAATAATAAAGCTTTGTATATATAAAAATTAAAAACACAAAAAACAGCAACAACAATATATTCATGTTATATATCATTGAGATATAAAAAAGAAAACTGTTATTGATATATAATATAAATACAGTAAGGATGCGATGAAACAATTGCTCTTCATATAATATTACAAAAATATTAAGTAAAAAATACAACTCCTGTAGATATAAGAATAAAAACTAAGAAAATATACCTGTTCCAGATATGAAATATGATAAGATCTAATAGTGTGTCGAGGCCTACTGGAAACCACTTGATTCGAAACCACTTGAACTGTCAAACGATGAGGGATTATCTTCAATTAGTGCTGAGGAGCTATCGTGTCTTATCTTTTTGTTATAGTACCATACAAAACACTGATAAGTGAGGGGGTGAGGAGAGGGGAAGAAAGTGAGGGAGATGGATAAAGGGGGAGGGAAGGAGGGAGGAAATGAGAGGGGAGGGAGGGAGACAGAAAGAGAGATAGAGATACAGACTGATAAAAAGAGGAAATAGGGATAGAGTAAGAAAATTACAAAGAAGAGGGTTTTTAGAATGCCTTTACGTGCTGTCTTTCATACACGTTATCCAAGTATATAAATACAAGAAACTTTACAGCTGTTATCAATACCTCATGAAAGTTGTTTTCTATGAGTAAAATCCCCTCCAAAAGAATCCTGTGGATAAAGCTTACTTTCGCAAATTTCATCGAACTTTGATGTATTTTGATAAAATGTGTTTGCAAATATTTCGTCGTTTCCCTCCTAACCTACCATCTAGTTTCTCTACCTTGATAATTTTGTTATTTTAGTAATTTTAAAGTATCACTGTTTTAAAGTATCGATTTGAATTAACCTTCTCTTAGCTAGCTGATAATAATCATAATAACAATCATAATAATAGATATGATCATAGTAAAAAAACAATAATATTAGATATCATAATGATCAAATTCTAAAAATAACAAGATCCTGAACTGTAGCTCAAGTTTTTTTTAAAAGGGCGATATAGACCGATTCGGTGTGACGTCACGAGTCGGAATCCCCAGCCCACTTGGTGAAAACAAACCCGTCCCTCGCAGATACATCACTAGCAGCGCGAGCGAAAATATCGTATGAATTCTTTGATTCGCCAAAAACCGAAGCGAAAAAGCGATATGAAGCAAAACGAAAACCTGTGCAGCTAAGAGCGTGTCCATACCGTCCGTCTGCCGATATTTGGATCGACGATCCTTCATCACACCAGGTTATAATAATAATTTTCTAACATAATTTGCTGCAGTAACCTACGACTTTTAGCTATATAGGGTATTTTTCTGTGAAATCACATATCTCCCCATTTACTAGGTGTTTATACAAAGGAGACAATAAAGTCGCCTATAGGCCTACAAGCGCACAACGCATTTTTCTCTCCTCAATAATTTGACCTCAAGAGATAGGCCCTCTTCACTTGTATCAGCTGCTGGACAAAGGCAACAGGCAACTGTATGCCTGCTTTGTTTTCATCTAATGGACAGTGCTTGAAGACACTTATCACTATAATGGCCAACATGACGCCTAAATTAATATTAACTGTAACAATAATAATATAGCGAGGTAGGAATGTGGGTCAATCAATTAATGCAAATGTAGTAAAATGATTGTTTTTTTAACAATTCGTTCGTGTTTTCACGTACCGATGTAACCACTAATTTGTCCATTTTGAGTTTGAATTGTTTTTAATTATTTTATGTGTATTTAAGTATTTCAAGTGTATTTAGGTATTTAAAGTGTAATTAAGTATTTTAAATGTATATCGGTATCTTAAGTGTATTTAAGTATTTTAAGTGTATATAAGTATTTTGAGTGTATTGAATGATTTTAAGTTTTTATTTATTTGATTTTAATTTTAATTTTAATGTATTTAAGTTTTTAAGTGTATTTATATATTTTGTGTATTTAAGTATTTAAGTGTTAGTATTTAAGTGTATTATTTTTAAGCATAGTTAAGCATATTTTAAGTGTATTTGATATCAGTGTAACAATGCCTGTTCTGTATCAAATTTATATGACCTAATTTCTTTCCGATGCTGAGATATGGCATGCAGTATCATAAAGAAAAAAATTGAACTCAATTTCTGTAAAAGTAACTTTTTCCACGTACGTCAGTTCGTGAAAACAAGGACGAATTAAGCTACAACTCCTAATTTTAGCACATGATATGGTATTAGGTGTAAGCAATTCAAATCTTAATCATCATGTAATTCCATTATTTCTTAGACATGTAAAGAAATCGTCTTACCACGGAATGCCCCGTGTGTGAGACAGCTGCGGTACGACAACTTGACCTACTGGGTTTTCGTACACCCGGCAGCGTCGATGATCCGCCCACGAGACTTGAAATAATTGCAAGTATTTGGTGCTGCAGAAAAGCCTAGAGTAATAACAATACTAATAGCCAATATCCAGACATTCACCAAAAATAAAAAAATATATATAATGATCTTAACAAATCTAAAGGTAGTATGGCGCAAATAGTTTTTAAAAAATCGATTTCCATAAATTTTCGCGACTAACGCAAATAAGCATCGATTTCGGTTTATATCAATGACAAAGATAATAATATCAATATTCGATATTATAGTGGTCACACTTTCAAAATAACAATAAAATACTTAACCGTAGCTTAAAAGATTTAAAAAAGAAAAATAACTTCCTGACCGTTTGGCAAATAGGTAGCGATTTCGGTTTATATTAATGACTACGATAAAAATAATTAATAATATAATTATTCGATATTATAATGGTCACACTTTAAATAATAAAATACTTAGCTGTAGCTTAAAAAAAAGGAAAAATAAAAAACAAAAAAAAATCTGACCGGTTGGAAAATAAGTAGCGATTTCGACTGACCTGTTGGGTAGTTCCTGGGACTTGAATCGCAGTCAAAAAGGTACTGACTGGCGTGACTGGCGGATGCCCTCTTTACATACCCTGTGTGTGATTAACTCCTGGACACCCCTCCCTCCTCCCCCTCCCTCCTAGACCTCCCTTCACCCCCTCCTCTTTGTCTCCCCCCCCTCTTTGTCTCCCCCCCCCCTCCCCTCTGTCTTTCCCTACCCTCCTCTATTTTCTAGTTCTTATCTCTTCTCTCCCATGTGTCTCTGACCTTCCTCCTCCTCATCATCATCTCCCTGCCTCTCTTTCTCTCACTTCTCCCCCTCCCCATCCCTACTTCCTCCCCTCCCGCCTCTCTTCTCCTCACCCTTCACCCTCCCCTCCTCCATCTCCCTCTCTTTTCTTCCACCTCCCTCCCTTTCCCTCTCTCCTCCCTTCTCCCCTCTCTTCCTTCCTCACCTCCCTCCCTTTCCCTCTCTCTCCCCTCTCTTCCTTCCTCCACCTCCCTCTCGTTCCCCCTCTCCTCCCCTCCTCCTCCTCCCCTCCTCCGCTCTCTCTCCCCCCCCTCCCCCTCTCCCCCATCACTCTAATCAAGTCATTGTGAATTCGAGGTTTCATAGTAGCTTACTCACACACGTGACTCCTTTTAAGTGTGTCACTGTTAATCGGACATTTTTCGGGGGGGGGGGGGCTTGTCTTGATGAGATTGTTATGTCATTGGTATTATAAGACTTTCTCATTCAACCTCTCTCCTTTTCTACATCTCTCTCTTCCTCTGTGTCTATTTTTCCTACTCTTTATCTCTCTCTCTGTCTGTCTCTCTTTGCCTTCCTCCCTCTCTTTCTTTCTCTCTCTCTCTCTCTCTCTCTCTCTCTCTCTCTCTCTCTCTCGTAAAGGACTGTATATGGTATATTCATCCATTATTATTATTATCATCTTTAAATAACCAACAAAAATATGTAATTGCAATTACACCGTATAAGAACGGTCACAACTAGAGCAATACATTAGAATTTGTAAACATCTTGATAAGCAGCAAGGGATCCTTCGAATAAAGTTCCACAAGTAGGCCTACTAAACTATTACCATTCTCATACATAATGATAGTGTCCATGATGATAACAACAAAAATATTGATCATAATAATTATTATGATAATGATAATGATTATAATAATACTAATACTACTGCTAATAATAATGTAAATGATAATAATAATAATAATTATCATTATTATTACTATTACTGCTATCATTATTACTATAGTAATGGAAATATCATGATTTTTTTCTAGAGCCACATAGCATCTTCAAATATATTAGGCATCAAAATATTTATATCAATGACTACTAACGAGGTATAGAGGGAATGGTCTGTGTAATGAATGAATAAGCACAATATTGGTGTCATATTTTATCATAATTATTTCCATCATCGTTACTGCCATTGTCATTGCTATCCCTGTTATAATTAGTATCCTTTATAATTATTGCATTATTATTTACCTCTTGTATTGGACAGTATCACCACTATAGGAATGATTAGTTTATTAATAATATGATATGGTAGGAATGTAGTAATCAATCAACTTATGCAAATGCAGAAATATTTGTGTTTAGGACAATTAAATCCTCATCCGTGAATTATATGATGTGCAAGCCATTCAGAAATCAATTGCCATCATATTTCTTTATACGTGCAAATAAACTGTCGTAACACGTGATGGTGTGTGTGTGTGTATGGGACAGCTGGTTCTGTTTAGGCAGTACGACACTTTGGCCCGATGGGTTTTCGTACGCCAGACAGCACCGATGCTACGCCCACAAGATTTAAAATAATTGCATGTGGCGCTGCAGTATTTTTTATGTTTATTGACTTTTATTTTTTTTCTTCTTCCTCCCCTTTCTCTTGTAATCGTTTTTATTCTCCCCATACAGTGGGGGAAAATTATTTCCCCACTGTGTTGATTTACTATAATTATATTATATATATATATATATATATATATATATATATATATAATATATATATATATTTATATATATATATATATATATATATATTATATATATATATATATATATATATACAATATATATATATATATATATATATATATATATATATATATATATATATATATATATATATATATAATCTTTCTTTCTTTGTTTTTTCCGTCCCCCCTTATAACCATTTTCATTTTTCTTCTTATCTTTGTTTGCTTATTTGTCAACAGAAGCTTGGTCACGTGACTTCAACCTGTATGTATTTGTTCATGCCTTTTACAACCTAATTTTAACGGTCTTCTGTCCTCTCTCTTCCATTTCTGATCCTTTTTTTATATTTTGCTAATCTATTTATTTATGTGACTCTGTTTTCATGGTTTTTAGTTTGTGTAGATGTATTGGATCACGTGATTATCATCTTGACAATCTGAAGTGTTTCAAGGCCGTGTTCCTCCCCCTCCTCCCCCTCCCCGCCTGCCTGACTCCTCCCTCCTACTACAACTGTTTCTTGTTTTATTAACTATTTCCTGTTATGCTACTTACTACTTACTACTACTATACTATTATTATTATTTTCATCCGGTCACGTTTTTATCTCCTTGTGACAGGTGAAAGTTATTATGAGGTGTTATAAGAAGAATTCAGTAGAAGGAATCATTTCAGATTTTTTTCGGGGGGAGAGGGGGGCACACTAATCAAAGAACATTTTTTTTTGTAGATTTATTATCATTTTTTTAGAATGATGGGAGACGGTGGGGGTGCACAGTGACTATTTTTAGAATAACACGTGTTCATGTTTACATTTTGTACAATATCCAACAGTGTTAAAGTTTCAATAGTTTTTCAGGCGTTTTTGACTTCGTGGTCTTATTGGCCTGGTATGCTACACATTAAATAAAATACTTTTCATTCATTCATTGAGTGCAAGGAGGTATTAATAAAAGTAGGTATATTTTATTCCTTCAAGCTGAGTAAAAAAAAAAAAAAAAAAAAAAAAAAAAAAACAGGCCTTTGGCTTGACTCCCACAGCCAGCAATTTCACTTAATAATCATTCATGTATAAGCATAATCGCCCATTCTTCTCATCCACAGGGCTATTTGTGACGACTGTTCAATGAAAATATAACCATTAAAATGATTATTTTCCATCCGTTTTGAAAATTGAAAAGACCAATATGAATTATTAACTCCATGTGCCTTTTCCAAAAATAGAATCGCAACTATTGTGACGTCATCAAAACAGACGCCATGACACCTCCTCGAGTTGCTACTGATCTAGCCTTTCCCGTTTCGCAGCTGATACAATGGCAACACAACTATGGTGACCAATGTTTAAGTAAATATATAAAATGTATGATACTATCATCATTATAGAAACAATATTTATTGCAGTATGTAGTTTGAACATAGTACCGCAATCAGTTACCGTCATAGTGCCTATAATAGTTATGTATAGACACACACACGTATATATATATACTATGCTTAGACACACATACACATATATATATATATATATATATTATATAAATACGATATATAATATATATATATATATATATGCTATATATATCTATATATATAGTGTATGTATGTATATAGACACACCAGTACTATATATGTATATGTATATATATGTGTGTATGTATATATATATATATATATATATATATTATTATATTGAATATGATGTATATATATATATATATATATATATATATATATATATATGTATTATATATATATTATATATATATTATATGCCTATGTATATATATATATATATATATATATATATATATATATTATATAATATATTATATATATATATATATATATATATATATATATATATATATATATATATATATATATATATATAATATATATATATATATACACACTATTGACATGGTTGTATTCAATAACACTATTGTAGTAGGCAGTAAAAACAATGTTTTTTATTCCATTTATTTATCAATCATCTTTTAGCGGATATTACCACTATACCACTATATTTGGTTGATCAACCTCTAGTAGATTATTTCCCAAAAATCATTATAGCAAAGAAGTTTTTGAAAAGTGTATAAATATAAAAACAAGTCGAAATTTTTAAAAATAGAAATGAGATACTCAAAGTAAAATAATAGAAATAAAAAAGAAAAAGAAAAAGAATCATAATGATAATGAGAGTAATAAAACAATTCTTATTATTACTATAAGGATAATGATAGTGGTAATGATAATAATGATGATTATAATAAGATGATAAAGATGATGATGATGATGATGATGATAATGATGAATGATATGATGATGATGATAACAGTAATACCAATGATAACAAGAACAAGAACAATATTTATAATAATAATAACAATAATCTTTAATTGAATGCCTCTTTTTTATCTGTTTTGAAACGCTCTTTTCCCCTCATCATGTGTCACTATTAATGAGCTCAATTATCAATGATTTCTTATCTTTTAACTTTTTTACGTCTCTCATTATCAAAGTTGTTTCTGTGCGCTCTCCAACGTAGTAAGGTTAGGTCTTATTACAAAAGCAAATAATCTGTTAATAGATGTGATAGGGTTATCTTCAGCAGCTGATGCAATTTTTGGGTAAACAAATATGTATCTGATCATGCAGCGTAAATTGCTTTACATAACAAAATAATAGTAGTAATGAAAAAAACATGATAATAATAATAATGATAACAATAATAAAACGAAAAAGCTAGATCATATTGTAACAGAAATGAGAATTGTTTACATCTTTTATAAAAATAAATAAGGTTAGTCTGTTTCTCTTCTATATATCCTTCGAAGCACATATTAAAGATAGATAAAAAGAATAACAGTAAAAATAATATAAAAAATATACAAATCAAAATAAAACTTGTTCATAAATTTTGCTCGTGAAGTTGTGTCCAGTGTGCTTTCACTGCGTACTCTTCAAGGACCCGGATGTAAGAATTTGAAAGACAGATGATGTCCTTGTTTGATGCGCAGACTAATCACTTTTTAGTCCTTTAACAACTTTTGACGTTAACGAAAATATAGTTGACGGTAACCTATCGAAAGCTGAAACTTGGGAGCATTT